AGTATAGGGTAATAACACTGCTAGATTCTTCTGAAATCCTATTTCTGATGCATGTCTTCCCCTTGTAAAGTTCCAGTATAGGGTAATAACACTGCTAGATTCTTCTGAAATCCTATTTCTGATGCATGTCTTCCCCTTGTAAAGTTCCAGTATAGGGTAATAACACTGCTAGATTCCTCTGAAATACTATTTCTAATGCATGTTTACCCCCTTGTAAAGTTCCAGTATAGGGTAATAACACTGCTAGATTCCTCTGAAATTCTATTTCTAATGCATGTCTACCCCTTGTAAAGTTTCAGTATATGGTAATAACATTGCTAGATTCCTCTGAAATCCTATTTCTAATGCATGTTTACCCATTGTAAAGTTCCAATATAGGGTAATAACACTGCTAGTTTCATATAAAATCCTATTTCTAATGCATGCCTACCATTGTAAAGTTCTAGTATAAGGTAATAACACTTTCTAATGCATGTCTGTAAAGTTCCAATATAAGGTAATAACACTGCTACCTAACAGCAAATTATAGTCGACTCAAAAACCAATAGTGCATAAACAGAAAAAACACGAATATACTCAGATTCAATTGAAAAAACATACCTCAATTAATATGATAACCGAATCAAATATCACAGATTTGTAACCACAGCTCAAACCAAAACACAACCAAACCGAATCTGAAATCAATCCAAATTATAAACAAAAAGAAATTAAAATCACAATTTAAAACTCAAACGAATATCTAAATACAAATAGAATGAAATCAGAAAATCCAATAGCTTATCTCCAAATTGACAACAACAAAAGTAAACATATAAAATCAAGAAGAATTGGATCTACATTTCAAATTTAAACTCCAAAACTGCAAAAATTATGAAAACTTAACCAGCAACTTAATTAATCGAATATGAAATCACCCAAATTAGACTACAATAAAATCGAATATGAATTCAAATTAAAAAAAAAATCAAATACCTCAAAATCGAAGATCACAGATCGAATAGGATTTTATATTGAGCCAAGTCACCAATGCACCATGAGCCATTTCATCCTCTAAATCCGCCAAGTCATTGTCCATTTGCTCATGTTGCAAATCCTCCAAATTTTTCACAGATCCCAACATATAAAAGACGAATTAATTAGAATTAGAAGAAATAGTTACCTTACACAATCAGAATCCTTGACTTCATCATTCTTATTCTTTTAGAGAGAGAGAGAGAGAGAGAGAGTTACTTGATAACAGAGCTTAGGATTTCATCGTCAAAACTGAGGTGGAAGAACAAAAGCTGAAGAGAGATAGTTACTTGAGAACAGAGCTTAGGATTTCATCGTCAAAACTGAGGTGGAAGAACAAAAACTGAAAATTGGGGTTGAAGATGAAGATGAGAGATTGCAGGTCGTGAGTCTGATCTGGTGTTTATTAGGAAATCCAATTTCATGTTAAAAGGGTAATAAAGGTATTTCATCTTAATAATTAAATTAAAAAATATACAGCTGTTGATTTTTGAGTTTATTTTGGGTGTGTTTATATACATTAAATAGTATAGGGTTTTTTTATAGTTTTATGTTTAGAAATGGGTATTTAACTAATTTTCTATTTTAGTAATTGTACAGCTTTTCTGTTTCATTCTCCTGGAAAAAGATTTTGCCAGCATTTACAGTTTTGTGATGTATATGTCCACCATCACCATAGTCGTCTTCTGTTTCAGAAATCATGTATGGTGCTTTTGTGACACAAGTGTTGATAATTTCTAATTAGATTGTTAAGTGGCAGAGATGTATATTTTCTATGGTGGGTGTTCAAACCAACGAGAATGTTCCAACTAGAAAAAGAACTGAGATATCGTCAGAATTGTAGGACCTACTACAAGTATGCGCTATCACATCACCAACTCTTAGACTTCTCTAAGCCAGAAAAAAATATCTCATGTTTTATAGTTGTACACATTTCTCTCTATTTCTTTCTCACGAAACAATTTACCTAAAAACAAGCTTCTTTCTCGCGAGTATGAATAATCTACCAAAACTACAAAACAGAGACTAAACACACAACACAATTGAGTTATCTATATAGAAATGGGTCTACAATGTAATTAATAAGTTTATCTAAATTGTTACTTTTTGACCTCTCTTCTTATGTGCATGTTTCCCATTTGTCCCAAATTTGTCTTTTGGTTGAACTTTTTCTAAATTTCAAAATACCCCGGACTTATGTCTATCGTAACTTTTTTTATTATGTACAAGTCCATGAACTCGTGAGAGCGAGCTCTACGTAATGGTGTGAATGGAATTCCCAAAATGCGTTCCGAACAAAAATTGACCAACACGCCCCAAATCCCAAGGGTAAAATTGTAATTCCACATTAAAATTTTAAAAATTAAAATAAATTTCGGGATGAGTTCTTACAAAGACTCGTTTTGGAGTTTGAAAGGCCATAAGCAAAACTGTAGGTCGTATGTTATGTCCAGTTGTCCCATATGTTTGTCTAGATTGTTGGCACTCTTCCTAAAAGTTATGCTTTTGTTCTATCAATAGAAACGGTGTACAACGTAATCGATTACTGTCTAGATTGATTGCCTTGCCTCTCGTTCCCTATATCATGTCCTAATTAATAATGCACATAATTCTATTGTCTATCATGCAGTTTATTAGTTATTGATAAATTATGCCCTGTACTTGGGGGGCATCATGTTTGCTCCTTTTAACCCAATTAGCTACAGTGAGAAATATGGTATTAGCTACAAAGTTCAAAGAGTGATAGCAGGATCAATGGCCCTGCGCATGCCTGCAGCTGCAATTAGGTATTTATTTTCTTTTGAATGGGCTTTAAATGGGCTGAATAGGCAAAGCTGGTTGACTCTCTGCCTTGGAAAAACCCAGCCCTATATTCACGTTTTGGGCTCACTATAGAGAAGGGTGATTCTTTGCACGATTTTCTATTTGTCGAATTTTGTTACAAAATCGTTTTGGTGTCAAAGAGAATTTTAGGTGTCATGAAATCACCGTATCATATTATCTTCTCTGATGGGCTTGTCCAGAAATAACGGTAAAATTTATATGCAAAGCAATGGTGAGGAGGAATTGGGATCGAAATTTTATGAAAGCGCACTCTTGCGGTTTCTAATCTAGGGTTTATTTGGATTTGGGCCACTCTAATATATGTTAAGATTTCAAAGAAACAGATCAATGAACTCACTACTAATTGGTCTAACACGATAAATATCTTAACTTTACCATCTACCTTGTGTGAAAGTTTGCACAAAGACCTCGGTGTTATTATTAGGTGAACTGTTGGTTTAGTTTACATTCTTCAACAGAAGGAGCTATCAAGTTTGAATACCCCAGCGGGTTGGTATTTGTCCTCATGATGACTTGGCAAGTGATCGACTGAATGCCTGCCATTTTGGAATTCATAGTGATCATGGAGTTTGATAGACCTTGGAACAAAACGACATTCCATAGAAAACACATTTCCTAGCTCTATATAATACCAGTCCTAATCAGTCAACCTTTTGATAACATAATTTCTAGGTTTTGAAAAGACAAAAACAGAGAACAAATATGAAACTTCCTCTGATCAACCACAATTCATGTTTGCTTGCCAGGTTGGTGTGCAACATATGGGGTTGGGAGAACATAGGACCCCATAAAACTTTCAAAAGATTTTTTTTTTAAAAGAATCAGATGAAGAAATACAATAAAACTCCACTCAAATTTCTTTCTTCCGTGATTTTATCTTTTGCATTGATTCTCTTCCCACCCTTTTTGCTTTATGTGCAATGCAGGCAAAGTTATTAAGCACATATAATTGGCCCAATCAATTTCTATTTTTATTCTGTCATGTGGGCTTTCTTCTTTTGCAAGATGTGAAGTTTCTGCTGCCTGTCACCTTGCCTATGAACAATATATCAAGTGTAATATGTCTTCTTTTTAACTTAAGAATCCTCAACTGCTGTACAATTTGACTGAGCTTTCTAATAATTCATGGTTGCTGCCTGGAATTTCTTTGACCCTTGATCCATTTTTGTATATCTTGAAGGCTGGGATTGTGCTCACATCCTCCATTTTGGCCAAGTATGGATGGTCTTCCACCTCCACCTGAAATTATATAAAAACAAATAAAAAATAAGTCGATGGTAAAATAATAAACTTAACAACAATTTTTGCACCAGAATTTATTATTTAGAACAAACCTTGAGAAAATTGACAGATGGGAATCTTGTGCAGACTTGATGTAGGGCTTGCAACACTTGCTTTTGTTTGGTTTTGCTACAAAACAGCACCACAGACATCCCTGTTATTGAGACAAGGTGTTAGTTTTGTTGAGTTATAATCTAGTTATCTAACCAAGAGATCCAAAACCAAGTTTAGTGCTTTGTGGCAATTGGACAAGGAAGAATTGAGTTACCTGGAGAGGTCACAAAATGTCTGAAGCGCTCATTGCTGGAGATGAGGACCAAATTTGAACCAAATTTCATGTCCTTAATATCTTCGCCGCGTTGTGCTTTGAGCTGGATCTTGGCTTCAAACAAAGCCTTGCCAACTTCCTCATCTCCAGGAGTTTCTCTTATCAGAACTTCATAATCTTGAATTGAAGCCCCCCACCTTTCTAACTGTTGTCACAAAACAAACAGAAAGTGTACTAATTAGTGATGGGTTTTCAACTTATTACTCATTAAATTTTGTGCAGAAAGTATGTTTGGGTTTCAAGTGAGAAAAATTCACCTTGGCGTTGCAATCAGCCCGGCGCAGCCTAGCCTTGCTGTAAGAAGGCAGCACATTAAGTGCTGCATTGCAATCATCAATGGCCTTTTCAAATTGTCCCAGTTTAGTACGACAAGCTGCTCGGTTGCATAGTAAAACTGAGTTGTGTGGATCATGCTGCAGTCCTTGACTATACACTACACATGCTTCCGAAAATTTTGATGCCTTAAAGAGAAGGTTACCACTCACTCGGGCTGATGCAACAGCTCGAGCCCTCTTCACCACCGCAGTGACATTCTTGTCACTTGGATTGAGTCGTGCTGCATTCTGAGCTGCAGCTATAGCATCTTCAAACCTGTCAACCCCATAACTCTAAGATGTTACCATCTTCACACGTCTTAATCTGAACCTAAGATAAATTAGTACTTAATTTAATGATCAGCCGAGTCTTTTTCAACGGCTGCAAATTAATTATAGGGACCAACCTAACTTGTGATTTAATAAAAAGCTTATATTTAAAAGTCCTATATCATATTAATTAGCGCTAATAAACTAACCTGCCAGCAGCCAAGTAAACCTGAGCCCCAATCATTAACAGATAAGCACTACTTGCCAAGCCAAAGAACTTGGTGCATATATCAATGCTGAAACTGGGTCGTTTTTGGTAGGTGGCATAGGCCTCTTGATGTCTGTGAAGCTTCAGCAAGGCCTCAGCTTGTAGAGCAAAGACCTAGGCATAAGTAAACAAACATTAGATTGTTTTGATCAACAGATTATACTAATTAACCTTAAGCAAAACAAGGGGTTGACCAAGAAAATCTAACCTGTGGAGCAGAATTGGCACCTGAGGAAATTGCTAGCTGGGTCTCGTTCAGCAAAATATTCCACTCTTGTAATTTCTGAGCTTCAGTGCATCTGCTGAGGCATTTTTGAAGAGCCTGACATTGGTCAACGTCTTTCGAGTTAGCATATGGGCCCGAGTGTTTGTAGTGATCCAATGCTTTCTCTGCTTCTCCCAATCTAAATGACACAATTAATGTTCATGTTAGCAAATGTTTCAAAAGAATTAAAACAAACACAAACACATGAAAGTTTGTGTTCTGCAGGAAAATATATAGAACAGAATCTTGCTCTGTTTGAAATTACCTGAGATAAGTTGTTGCCAACCGATGATGAGCTTTGTGATAAGAAGGCTCAATCTGGATTGCTTCTTTGCATTCGAAAACCGCCTCGATGAGACGGCCTAAACCAACCAAAGCTGCTCCTTTATTGCTGTGATAAGCAGCCTTATTTGAATCCAAAGCAATTGCTCGGTCATAAAAAGCCAAGGCCTCTTCAAATCTGCCCTGTTTGTATGCCTCATTTCCCATGGACTTCAACACCTCAGGGTCTAACTTGTTCCAGGCAAGACCTCCAAACTCATCACTGTTCTTCCTCACAATGTTACCCATCACAACATTGCCTCCTAGTTTTCCAAATCCATTTTTTCTGGTAGGTGTCGAATTCGAGTCTTCAAGATTTCTAGGATGATAAGTCAGAGTCTTGATTGTTGCAATGGGACTATTGCTAGCCGCCTGATTCGAAACTCCGGGCTGCCTCAAGTTCCCCAACTGTCCTGAAATCACCATATTACTTGAAGTGGCTCGGACCAGAGGTTTGCTTTCATTGGCTTGCTGGTGATCAGTGATCTTCCTACTGAGCTCTGCAGAGCTAGTAGTGGATGCCCTTTGTAGCTTCGTCTCTTTCGACAAGTCCTGGATTTGCAACACCTTGATTTGGCTTGAAGTACCATTGGATGAAGATGTTGACCTTCTTCCAGCATCTGAATGCCTTCTCGGTTGAACCTTCTGGTGACAAGCTGAAAGCCTTGGATGACCCAAGCTAGGCTTCCTGGCATGTTTCGAGTCTCGATTCGGAGAATGTCTACCCGAATTGGAGGAGACTACAATAGCAGCCTCTGTGGATTTGGGTTGTTGGCTCTTGGATTCTTCAGACTTTGTAGAATAATTATCATTGATTGGTGCTTTCAAATCATTTTTGCTACTGTTTGAAGGTAGTGAATGAACAGAGGATTTTCTAGACCAGTAGCTTCTGCACTGGAAAATCCCACCCATAAAACCACAACCCAAATCCTTGTCCACCTTATACTTTGCCATCTCTGCCGTTTTCTCTTTCCAGCTCTTGATGCCTCTTGCAGAAGATACTTATAGAACACAGATGAGTTAATGGTTATGAGAACACAGATGAGTTAATGGTTATGAGAACACAGATGAGTTAATGGTTTTGAGAACACAGAGAGGTATCAAAAATCATGTTTAAAACTATTGTAACATGTAGAATGTGTATACTCTCAGAAAACAATAAAATGAGAAGAAGAAAAGAAAAAAAAGACTCAAAGCATAAAATATATGAAAATAATCAAAGAGATGGCTTGCCCATGAAGGATTTTGTGTAGCAGAATATTATCCAAAAGGTGTATATATAAGCTCTCGCAGCCTCCTAGAGTGGCTTCCAAGAAACCAACTTTATCTTTTTGGGGTTCTGGTAGGGAAGTGAAGGTGTGTAGGGTCAAAAACCCATAAACTAAATTAGCGTATACAAGAAAAAGGCCAGTCCCAGTAGGGGCCTTTTTGTTTTTGGGTTCCCAAAAAGACTTATAATAATTTACCAATTTGATATGGAAATACAAAAAGAAAGAGCACTACTATTCAAAATTTTACAGCTAGATGATTGAGAAATTAAAATAAGCCTGTTGATAAAGAGACTTCTCAACCTCTTTCTGATGGCTCTTGTTCTTTACAATAAGACATGTGTACCACTGAGATGTCATCCTTTCAGTCAATTTAATTTAGCAGCAGATTATGGCAAGTGGCTTGTTAAATCTTTATCAAACACAGATTGCAGAGGCTGCAGGGTTCTCTGTTTTGGTGTCTTTGTTAAGTTTTCTGGTGATGGGAACTGAGAAGTTGACCTATGTAGGACACCATTAGGGGAGTTAGAAGTCTTCTAATCTCAATTAAATTGCACCTTTGATCTCTTTCTTCTTCTTTTTTTGCAGTGGATTTTATCTTTGAAATATAATCAAATGATTTTATTTTTGCACATCTTATAAAAGCAAGAGGGCAGTTTTTAATCCACACTTCATTATTAAAAATATCCCCTCACTATGGTCATTGGGTATAACTCAATTAGTTGAGTTCTTCCAACTCCACCCATGTAGGTAGAGGTTCGAAAATCCCCAGACACCCATAAATATTTGTGTCAACCGTACTCCCCTAATCGCTTATACTAATAATAATAATAATAATAATAATCCCCACTACACAAAGGAAAAAGGAACCTCAACTCACATTCTATATTTGGTGGGTAGAAATAACATCAAGTGTTATACTTGCCGAAAATTGAATAGCTTATTACATACACAAACTTCTTGAAGAAGACGTATATGATAATGATTGCAATAGGGAGGGACTTTCTGGATGATTTATAAATAATTAAATGAGACTATTTACTAACATAAAGCAGTGACAAGGATGATTGAGCTCCAATTTCAGAAATGAATATTGATTTCAATTATATTATAAAGTATAGTAATCTTATTTGAGATAGTCTTAATTTATCTCAATAAACAAGGTTGGTACATGTCATTTGTTGTCGCCTTGTGTAATGTTGCTATTTATACATGAAGAAGAGATAGAATTATTGACCAGAGTTGTTGCATATACAAAATGTGACCAAGTCCATGCAATTTATTGTCCATGTTGAATGTGGGTTTTGGTGGCATGAAATGTTGTAGGACCATTTATGCAAAACAACTTGAAGCTTTAAAAATCTTGAAGAATATTTGTCATGAGTTTGCCTACATCATGTCTAGTCGGTGCCGGCTTATAAACCCTCCTAATACCAACCTCACAAAAATTCTCAAACAATTTGGCTCTGAGAGGACGGCATCACATAATTCTATCAAATTATTATTAATAGTTAGAACTTGGAAGGAATTATGCTACCTACTCTGGTTTATGATCGATGTGCTCCTCCAACCAGCTAGCAGTGACTTTTCTATGCAATGGATTTCCTGCATGAATCACACCACATATGAGGTCTAATGTTCAAGCCGATCAGAACAAACTTAGGGTTAGGCTAGAATTGGATATTTTCAATTGGTGAATTCGTAGAAAGAAAATGTTATTTTACTAGATAGTTTGACATGTTATGTTGTTATATTATTTTGACTTTTTTGTTGGTCTGATTGTCTAAATTTCCCTACTCGTACTTGTCTTCTTGGCTCGTTTGCATGTTTCTTTTCAAGAGTTTGCTTCATATCTCTTCGTAGCTAAGTGTTACTTAAAAACCATTTTATCAAGATTATATTTCGCATAATGATGGATTGCAACATAACGTACTTAACATAACATACCAAATTATCTGATAATGTTTCATAGAGGAGGTGATGACGAAGCAATTGCAACAATGTTTTTCATGTTCTTTTTACGAATCTAATAAGTGCATCATACACTTTTTTTGGGGTAAAACATTACATGATACACTTTATTTGCCGACAGTAGACAAATTCTGTCATTCTCTTCAAGATAAACCCTAACACGACCGACTTAAAGTGTCAATAAATCCCTAGAGAATCACACACTGTGGATTCTGACCCCGCTAAAAGCTAACAATGTAGTCAAAGTTTACAACTAAACAATACCAAAAGACGACCCGCACCACACACCCACCAATCTGATTCTCATCCTAATTCCCTCCTGCATTTGTCTTTATGCTCACCAAAAACTTTGGGCAAACGTACGGCCACAACTCAATTATTATACCTAGAATTTGTATATATGGGCTCAATTCATGCATGAAAGAGCACAAAAAATTTAAATCTGTCGGCTCATTATTATTGCTGGATGGATGGACGGATGAGGTTGAAAGCAAATATACACGTGTCATGTATATGTGATTGTCTGCAAATAATATGCGTGTGCCTTCTCTGTCACACAATCTAAATATCGCACGTGACTATTGACTCCATATATAAGCCAAAAGCCATGCACCCGTAACGTGTCCAAAATCACAAGCAACCCTAATGATTTTATGCGATGAAAATCTTCATAAAGCATAAGCTTCCGTGACATTATTCATACACAAAATGATGGACTCAAATTGTTTTTATTTTATATGACAGAAATGTGCCGCAGAATGGTGATCAAAGCTAGAGGCGCTAAGGGATCTAAATTAGTAGTGGATTAGTAGGATTATTATTATTATACTAATCTAAAAGGTTCAAAAGTGAAATGAGGATAACATTTATAAGTTAAAGGTAAGGTGGGTAGGCCTATAGGAGCAATACTTTTATTGGGTGCAATCCAACTTTCCCCAGCTAGACTTTTCCAACAGAATTGAGCAGTAAGCATGCAAACAAATCAAGACACAGCATTTCAATTTGTGCCGGCAGGGTCATGAGCATCCATGTGTATTCTCTTGTCAAACTAATACAAAATAGAGATGATTAATAACGAAAAATATTCTCTTGTCAAACTGTTTTATGCAAAAGTTGAATGTGTGATTGAAAATTTCGTTCCGACATATCTATCGAAAAAAAGACCTCATCCATACTACATATATCAAAACATATCCTAAAATTTTAGATCTAACTGATGAGGTATATGTTCACATCTAACAATTTTAAAAAATGTCATGTCATTTTCCATGTCACGATTGAAATTTAGGGAAAGCTTTGGTTGCCCCATTGAATAAAGATATATTCTTAAACAAAAGAGAAGAAAGGAAAATTAGACAAGTAAAGACATGGTAAAAGTTAAAACAGAGGATAAATCTTTTTTCTTCTTTGAGGCATTGATAAAAGCTGTGGAAACAACTTCTTCTCCACGTTGGAATCTTAAAAAAGAAAAGAATGGAGAAAGAGGGAAGGCTTGGAATGCAAGGCTAAGGTGGATCAGGCAGATGCAGAACAGAGCAGAGGCCAGCTGCTGCTGCTTGGGGCTCAAGACTGAGGGGGCGCAGATCAGAGATAGGGTGTCCGGAAAGGGTGGCACGTGCACTTTAAGTAAAGACGACAATAGGTGGTCACGTGATCCAACGCCCCTCGAAAGCTGGCCATGCCAACAAAAAAAAGCCTTGAGTTTTAAGGCTCTCTGTGATTCACATGGCATTGGGATCAACCTCAACAAGACATTCTAACAGTTAATCTCAGTTCCCCAATGCTCTTAGAATTTTGTGATTTTCATGGATAGTCTCAATAGAATTATGACAAACAAACCAGTGGATGTACTTGTGTGCTTAACTCATCATGTGAGATTTAAATTTTTTTAATACTTTGTTTATTTAATTTTTTTTTTGTATATATATTATTGAAAAATATAAAGTTTCACATCGAAATTTTGATAAAATAACATATAATATGTAACGAATGATTTTACTACTAATAGTTTTGACGTCTTTCGTATAAAATTCCACACTTAATTATGAAGGTGTTTAAGTTAAAGATCATATGTATATGGTTCAATTAAGTTTAGTCAAATACATACGCACGCATTGAACCTTAAACACGCTATCATGCTTCTCCTCTTTTTCTCTCCTTCTCTCTGTCTCTGTCTCTCTCTCCTTAATTTTAAAAAGTATATATTTGCATGTGGTTTTGTAAAACAATGCATGTAGTGATGTATTGTGTGGAACTTATTTATGTGTTGTCACTACTAGAAAAAGGAGCAAAAGTTACACATGCCAAGACCACAACAGTAGAACAATGACATTTTTTACTCTATGGTCACAAGTACTATACATCTGTGTCTACAAAAGATTACCCATGCAGTGGAAAATCTGTGGAAGTATTGAATATAAAAGCAATTTTGCCATATAATTAGAGATCTATAATGCACGAATTGAATTTGGGTGGGGTCCAATGCTCAAGAAGCCAAATATTAGTTTTGATGTTACCTAATTACATGGCAACACCTAATTAGGACCAGAGTTCCGTGAACTACTAACCTATTTGATCACGGTTTTACTAGTAGTAGTCACAAATTGAACAGTCACTAATTTATGGTTTTCTAGCAATGAAATCATATGTTTTTTTTTTCTCTCTTCATGTTATATTCCTATGTATTCCTTTAGATTGGTACGGACTAAATACAAGTATTGTAGTACATGTAGCAGTGTCACTTGGGGTTAGATTAGCTCAATTTTCTTTGTCTGAGGTAATTTTAGTTTGAATATGTTTAGGCTAATCTGAAGCTAAGCATAACTACTGTGATATAGACTCAACAGTCAACACAGATACATAAAGAAGCACATATACAAATACAATTGTGCCGCTGGACTATCAACCTCAACTGTATTTAATTTTAAAAGACAAGAAATTCAACAGCCTAATTGTATATGTGCACATGGGATAATTGCCCTATTTTGTATACATTATTGTA